TTACCGACTTTCTAAGAGTTAAAACCAACAACTGATTTCACTGGGGAAAAAAAAAAACAGAAACCGAACTATTTTGGTCAATGAAAAAGTAAATGTTTGTGGATTTTATTATTTTCGTTATTTGGATTTTTTTCACGTTTTTTAAGTTACAATCTAAAAATATCAATTTTATATATTTATTAAAATCTCAATTTTTGGTGGATATAAAATTTTAATAATGAATATATTTATTTGAGTTTGAGGATTTCATACTAATAATTAATGTTTTGATTAAGTTGTATATAACGAGTTAATTGAATTTAAATTAAATTATCATCACTTTTAATTATTATCAATATTATTATAATAAATTTTTTATTATTTTTTTTATTAAATTTTACAAAATATATTTTAACATATAAAATAGTAAATATGAAATAATTTAATATATTTTATAAATATTTAAATTAAAAATATTTATATAAAATCGATTAACTCGATAGTGACAAAAAACTAATGACGAATTACATATTTTAATATTAAAACCTAAAATAAATTGAATGGATTGAAATAATAAAATTATATCAGAATTTATTTAATGTTAATCAAACTTTGTACCTTCTTACAATTCAAAATCATAAAAAATGAGTTGATATTTGAGTAAAACATATATAAGCCACGTTGATGTTACATACTTTACTAAAATATTGAATATTTTGGTGTTTATATATTTTAATAAACATTAAAATTTCAAAATCATAAATACATTTTTATAAAATAAAAAATTTTAATAGGTTGATAAAATATTGTGATATTAATATTAGTTATTTTAGTATTGATTAAGAATAATGATTAACTGTTAACTATAGTTATTATTGACTTACCATCATTCACCGTTGATCATATATTATAATGTAATATCAAAATTTTAACAGACATGTATCTTTTTTTAATAAATAATAAAGGTAAATTTCTTTTAATGATGTGTTAGAAAAAAACGACTATATAGAATGCATTAAATTTTTAATTAAAAAATATAATATTTATTATTATATTTATTAGAAGTCGCGTGAAACACAGGATGTCTTATGAAAATCATGTAGAGTACGAGACATCTTTTTCACAACATGCACGATAACAATGATAATTGGGTGGTGGTGTAGAAGTCGTCAGATAATCCAAACGTTTTCTAGAATATTTCATGTTATCTAAACATCTTTCAATGGATATTATAGTAAATACCTTAGTTGAATTTTTTTTTCTTCTTTTCATCCTATATGATCAAATATTTTTTTTCAAACACATTATTAGAGTAATTACCCAAATAATAAACTTTTAAGTATGTATTTAATGAATATCAAAATTAAGTATATTTTTTTGATAAAATATATATATTAAAAAAATAAACCGTTACTTAGGGGTGTATTTGGTTCGGTTCGATTTTTTACCAAAAATTGAACCGAACCGAAATAAACAGGTTTTCAATATTTAAATCGAAACTGAAACCGAATAGTTAAAAACCCGAAAAAACCGAAACCGGTTTTTTCGGTTCGGTTCGATTTTTTTAACGGTTCGGGTTTTTCGGTTTGGTTCGGTTCGGTTTTTCGGTTTTTCAATAAAAAAAATCACTTGAAACTATAATTTTTTTTACAAAAATTACCCTATTCGGTTCAATATGAAACAAATGGGTTCCATATGGAAAACCCGAACCGAACCGAATCAAAAAAATAAAACCTTTAAACCGAACCGTTTAAAATCAAACCGAATCGAACCGTTTTACTCGATTCGTATCGATTTTTCGATTTTCTCGATTTCGTTGCTCAGCCCTACCGTTACTAATCAACTAATACAACTAAAATAATTAATAATAAACTCAATCTTAAACCCTCACGCTGTATACAAATGCGGATGAAGGTTCGTTTTCATTATACCCTGGTCATGATCCTCATCATGCGCATGATGACGGAGGCAGCAATATCAACTCTGATAGTTAAACCAAAGGGTCCCACCAACACGGTTTTATAGGACACGTGTACGTTCAAACGAAGCAGCACCTAAGCCGGCACTTTCTCACCGACCAAAACATCTGATTCGCTGCTTTCCCCCCCCCCCACTATTTTGTTTTATCGCAAACCGACATTAATTAATTAATTAATTAATTAATATCCCCATTCATTTCATCATTCTAGATTGTTCTAATCCGTTTATTTCAAAATGTTCCTATCACGACCCAATATAAAATTAAAGGATTAGAATCAAATAATTTTGATGATTGAGGAGAAAATTCTACTTTAACAAGAATTTTTAATTAATAGCACTATTTTTGACCATTCTAATTTAAACAGAATTTTTATTTATTTATTTATTGATAAATTTGTATATACTGTCCAAAGGAAGTAGAAAATCTATTACAACTTAAAAGCATCCCAATAAAAATAAGTATATTTCAAAAGGGAATAGTCCGACCAAGGCAAAAGCCTTCTATTAAGGTTGTCATCTCTCTCATCCCTAGCACCATAAATTGAAGCATTCCTAGCAATCCTAAGAATAAAAGAGATCAAAGATTTACCCCTAAGCTACAATGGCGCCTATTCCAGTTCCTCCTCCTAACTCATAGGCCTCTTAGGAAGATTGTACATAGCTAAAACAATATTTGTATGTGGTGATTGTCAAATGATTGAAATTCTTTCGATAATCATCTCGAAGGATTAATGTATAATAAAGGGACTAAAATCTAAAAAAACTACAATGTGAAGCATCTTTTTAGAATTTGACCATATTTTTAAAATGCTTTTTAATGAAGACGAGTTAATAATTAATTAATTTATAAATCATATATGATAATTATATAAAAAAAAATTAACTTAAATATTTTTCATTTTATCAAAACCCCTTTATTTCTAAATCATTGCATCTTACTTTATAACAAATTATTTACGATTTTATTCATCTAACTTTCAAATTTTAAGAAATTTTTATTTTTAATTTTTTAAAATAAATTTCTTTAAAAGACGTAACATAAAAAATTGACAATAAAAAATAAGTTTCTCGACACTTATTTTAAAAGAAAATATTAAACACTTAATGAAATATGAATTAATTGACATCGATGATAAAAAAATTATTATTATCGCTAAAATATCCTATTCAAATATCTTTAAATAAATAAATGTTGTATTATACTTATTCTGAAATATTTAAAGTAAACATTATATTTAATAAATGTGTACCGAAGTCAAACGAGATAATTTTCGTTTTTCAAAGGAGTAATGAGTGGAACACCGTACTGTAGAAGTCAAATTCATGTATGATGCCATGATAATGGGGATGCATCGCACATCCATACAAGATATATTCCTAGCGCCTCATTGCACCACGTGTCCTAGTATGTTATCTATAGCTGCTCCTTGATTGGCTCTGTATCTGGAAACTGTTTGGGGAGTTCTTTTTAATATTTTTATTATTCTATTTAGGTCAAATTTGGTTTTCAGTCATTCTATTATGATTATGTCTGGGATCTAGTCCCTATATTCTAATTTAATATAATTTAATCCTTCATGTTTATAATATCATTAATTAATCCAAATAATTAATATCATTAATTAATATAGAGCAAACTAAGTTAGGGATCCTCCTCGCCTCTGCAATCCATGATCTAAATTAATCAATTAATAGATCAGATATTGATGATTATATAAAATAATATTGACATTTTTTTTATTAAAAATACTCATTCCAAACAAAAATCCATATCTATGTGTTTGAAAATGTGCTTTTTAATTTTTTTTATTATATATATTGGTCAAGTTTATGGTTTGGTCCATCAACTATGCTCTAATTTTAGATTTAGTTTTATATTTCAATTTGATATGATTTATTTTATAATATTCAGGATGCAGTTATGCAATGCTTGACAGGGGCATGGTCACCCTAATTTTTTTTTCCATCAAATGACAATTTTAGGTCTCTAGTACTTTAAATATTGATCAAACTAAACTTTCACCCATTCAATTTTGGAGTTTAAATCTTTAATAGGTTATTGTTCTTTTGAATATAGAATGCAACGAGAGGAGACACGATATGCCATATTTATTATTGTCTAAATCTCGATTTAAAATTTAACATACTTCACTCGACCCTGATTCATTCAAGAATTAATTTTATTTCACTTTCACCGTTATTTGTGATACAAACAATCTAACTTAAAAATAAGAACCCTAAAATAGAAATTTAAAACAAAAAGAAAAAGATCTAAACGGATACTACATTATAATCATATGAGACTATTAATTTTGAATATTATATAGATAAATATATAGATAGTATTAGTTATTTTTTTAATTAGAATATGAGTTTTTTTAATTCACCCAAGCATTTTAATTAAAATATTCAACTGTGTTAATTGTTTGCACTAACTAATAATATTTATAAAGTAGAAAGATGGAATTATGTCAGATTATAATATAGAGACCAAATATAAAATTTTAACATAGTAAAGGGACCAAAACTACAGTTTGACCTTTTTATGTATTATATTTATGGGTGATTGAAAAATATCTGAAACTAGGATTCTTACAACTAGTATCCAAGGCTGCCCGCTGAAACCTTCTAGTAATTCTGAGCCACTGAACATTCCACGTGTCCTTATAATTATTCGATGCATTCGGGCAGATATGCCCGTGGTTTTCGGTCACATTTCTGACACATGGTCGGTCCCACATCGATGGCATCTAAAGTATCTGATTCTGATCCTCTGGAAGGTCTTCGAGTTGAGTCGACTCCAGAGCTGTAATTCGGTAGCTCGGCTCTTTAACTCATTTGCTTTCCGTTTTTTACTTTCCTCAGAATAAACTAAAACCCGTCACTATAACTGAATACTTGGATGTTATGACATGGCATGCATGCTTGTATGTATGTGTTAATGTCATATCATGTATGGTGGATTCATATGACATAATGACATAAAGAAGCTTTGTGTGAAGTTTGAGGAAAATATCATCACCACGTCATCAGCAATCTTATTCTCGCCAATATCAAAAGTTTCTCTGCTACTTATTGAAATTTTCCCAGCAAACAAACACTGAAAAAACAGAAGAACTCGAGAGCAAATCTGTATCTTTATTATCCCCTTTCCTGTACATGCATTAAATATTCTTTATCAGTGAGATAAATCAACTAAACCAGGAAACTTTTAGCAGCTGGTAACCAAAGCCCAGGTTTGTTAGTCGTCTTCCATTTTCTATGAAAATGGAGTTTTTCTTTTTTCAATTTCTGTTTATGATTTTTTAAATATATATGTTCTTATAAAAAATGGTTTTGAGATTTGTTCAATATTAATCATAAAGCTGATGTTTTCATCTAAATGTTTAGGTAGCTGTGTTGTGTATACAGTGTTCTTAGCTTGCTTATTGACTCCATTTTCAAGATTTTTTCTGATTTTTTTTAATTTTGTTTTTGTTTTTGCAGTGAAGAACAGATTTATGATTACCAGTTAAATACTAATTGGCAAGCTCTTTTTGTTACAAGGCAGAAACTTTGTGGAGACGACTATCATATTGTTTGTAAATTTCCAATCCTTTATCAGAGAGAGAGAGGTGCAATATAGTTTCTCTTGTCGATTCAGTACCTTTTTTGTGTTCTTCAATTGATATACATACATACATACATACATACATACATATATATTTGTGGAAATCCGTGAGCTGAACTGGCTTGGGATGTTGAATTACGAAATATTGATTCTAGATTGGTAGAGTTGCAGAGTGGGAGCTCAAGTTCTGGTGTGTGTGCCTTGTTGTTGATTGATTGGTCTGAAAGGTTATAATTCGGTGACTAGTCCAATAATTTAGGATACATGACTAGCCCGTCCGAGCGATGGATCGATGGTCTTCAGTTCTCATCACTGTTCGGCCTTCCACCGCAAGACCCTCAACATCGAAAGGTACCATAGTTTCTTTGCCTTGGATTATCTGTTGTCTTGTTGTTATCTATTTAGGTTATAGCTCATTATGTTACCTTTTTTTAGGTTCAAATTACAGCGTATGTTGAGTATTTCGGTCAATTCACATCGGAACAATTCCCTGAGGACATTGCTGAGGTATGTTCATCGTCGTACGACGATTTCACATCCTTAGAAAATGAAAGCAAAAGGGGAATTCTTTGATCGTTTGGGATTTATTCACGTAACAAAGTTTGCTTATTCTTGTAACAGCTTGTCCGCAACCGCTATCCATGTAACAAACAGCGCCTTTTCGATGATGTTCTAGGTACTGGCTCTTTCATCTTTTGTATTGTTACACTATCCATTATTACCTCACCTTCAAGTTCAATGAACTTTTATCTTGAATTATACCCGGACAATGACTGATTACTTAATCTGTTTGCAGCAACGTTTGTTCTTCACCATCCAGAACACGGGCATGCCGTCGTTCTTCCAATTATATCATGCATCATTGATGGTATACTGGTGTACGATAAGAATGCACCTCCGTTTTCTTCATTCATCTCCTTAGTCTGCCCGAGTAGTGAGGTATTGTACAAACTTCTTATATGCTTACTTGTATCTAATTTGTTAACTTAAAAAAGCATCATCGTGGCTGACCACGAACATATCTATGGTATTTATGCGTTTTTTTTCTTTCACAGAATGAGTATTCTGAACAGTGGGCACTGGCATGCGGAGAGATCCTGCGAATTCTGACTCATTACAACCGTCCAATATGTAAAACGGAACTTCAAACTAGTGAAACAGAAAGAAGCAGCAGCAGCAGTCAAGCTACAACTAGTGAATCGGTAGACCAGGAATCATCCTTTCATATTCCTTTGGTGCAACACGAGAGGAAGCCTTTGAGGCCTTTATCTCCATGGATTACTGATATATTGCTTGCGGCACCTTTGAGCATCAGAAGCGATTACTTCCGTTGGTGAGTGGTTTCTATTGTAGCTTAGTATTTTTCCATTTTTGTTTAGTTTGAAACATCAATTGGCCTGTATAAAGAAAAAGCGGTTTAACAGTCGAGTGTTGCAATACTTGTATCCTAGTAAACTTAACTTCAAGAAATAAACATGTTGACCCGAAACATGCATGTGGATGCATACATGCTTAGGATGCCGTTTCAAATTGCACCTTGGATGACATTTTTGTTTTTTCCCAGATGTTACTGGTTGACAATTTTATAGCATTTACTATGTTGCATAAGCTCTATGACCAGTTATGAGAATTAGGGGCGGTGCATGACTCCGTTTTGCCCAAAATTTTTCACCGAGGCTTGATTAGTAGGTGTCCGTCCTATAAATAGATCTCATTTTTTGTATGATTATTACTGAAGCTGGTGATCCATTATATGTACGAATAGGTGCAGTGGCGTTATGGGTAAATATGCAGCTGGAGACCTCAAACCGCCTACAACCGGTAAGTTCCATGTTTTGGCTGGAATGTATTATATGAAAATTAATGTTCAGGCATTGGTGTCTTCTGCTACGAGCCTTGTTTCTTTAATCAGGAAATCCCGAATTCTAAATATAAATTTTTTATCATAACGGACTAAAAACAATTCGACGAGCAAAACATGAAGATATTGGACTGAATGAAAGTTGGACTTATGTCACAATTTATTTTTTTCCAACCATAATTAACAAGATATTTTGGCCTGGGGACTCATTATTTGACCACTGTTGTCCACTAGCTTCTTCTCGTGGATCTGGAAAGCACCCTCAGCTCATGCCGCCAACTCCGAGGTGGGCCGTTGCTAACAGTGCCGGTGTAATATTAAGTGTATGTGAAGAGGAGGTTGCACGCTACGAGACTGCTACTCTAACTGCTGCAGCAGTCCCTGCGCTTCTACTTCCTCCACCAACAACAGCATCAGATGAGCATTTAGTTGCTGGGCTACCAGCTCTTGAGCCATATGCACAATTGTTTCACCGGTAAACTGTCAAACCTTTGGGAGTTCTCGAACAGCATTGCTTAAGTATATTTGTTCTATTGTAGGCGTACATGTTAATATCTTGCAAGTGTTGTGCTTTGCCATGTATACATGGCATTGAGCAAAGCACTTTCAAATTTATATCAGGAATGTAGATCTTGTTTAAAAGTTTCAAACGAGTTTACTACGAAGATGAATGCCTGACATGTTTAGTCGCTTGTATATGCATTATCATTTTTTTTCCTTTTCTCCCGAACAGATACTATGCCATTGCAACTCCAAGTTCCACACAAAGACTTCTTCTTGGACTTCTAGAAGCACCGCCATCATGGGCCCCAGATGCGCTTGATGCCGCTGTACAGCTCGTGGAACTACTCCGGGCGGCTGAAGACTATGCAACTGGAATAAGGGTGAGTGAAATGCTTTTCACCACATATATTTGAATAAAACATGACACTTTCTGTCATCTGGTGTCAAACTTGATTTCATGTGATTTTATGATCATTACTGCAATGAATGGGCAAAGTTTAATGACCATTCCCGCAATAACTTGGACATCATTTCCTATAAAAAACTACGCAAATACACTTTCAGCTATCACCATTTGTCTTAGCAAATTGATTTTGTGGATGTTGATGTAGCTTCCTCGAAATTGGATGCATTTGCATTTTTTGCGTGCAATTGGGACTGCAATGTCTATGAGAGTGGGTATCGCCGCCGATGCTGCTGCTGCTTTACTTTTCCGTATACTGTCACAGCCTGCACTGCTCTTTCCTCCTTTAAGACGTGTTGAGGGAGTGGCAGTTCAACACGGATCTTCCGGTGGTTATATCTCGTGTTATGGGAAGCAGGTATTAGTTGTCAACTTCGAAATTTTGCATGTTATCATCCCTTTAATGAGAAGCATTTTTGTATGCATATACATACAATAATGCATGTTCACAAGTACTGAAAATTCATCTCCAAATTGTACTGTTAATCAGATAGAAGTGCCTGCAGCTGAAGCAACCATAGAAGCTACTGCCCAAGGGATTGCGTCAATGCTTTGCGCTCACGGATCAGAAGTGGAGTGGAGAATATGTACCATATGGGAAGCTGCTTATGGCCTGATCCCTTTGAGCTCTTCAGCTGTTGATCTTCCGGAATTAATTGTTGCGACCCCATTGCAGCCTCCTGTACTATCATGGACTCTATACATACCTCTTCTCAAAGTCCTCGAATACCTTCCACGTGGAAGTCCTTCTGAAGCATGTCTCATGAAGATATTTGTGGCCACCGTTGAAGCTATTTTACAGAGAACTTTTCCTCCAGAATACTCTAGGGAACAATCCAGAAAAACGAGATACAGCATAGGTTCTTCCTTGAAGAATCATGCTGTGGCCGAGCTTCGTATGATGATCCATTCCCTCTTCTTAGAATCGTGTGCTTCGGTAGAGCTTGCTTCACGCCTACTTTTTGTTGTCTTAACTGTGTGTGTTAGCCATGAAGCTCAGTTTCGTGTGAGTAAGAGACCGAGAAGCGATGAAAGTTATTGTCCTGACGAGACCATTGAGGAATCCCAGGCACAACCGGAAAAGCTGAGAGACATAAAACCTCAAAAAACGAAAAATCAAGGGCCTGTAGCTGCATTTGATTCTTATGTGCTGGCTGCTGTTTGTGCTCTTGCCTGCGAGCTTCAGTGGCTCCCCTTGGTTATAAGCGGAAATACTCGTTCAACAGCTAAACATGTTCAAGCTACACCCAACTGTACAAAAGTAAATGGATCTTCTATCGAGTATGGACATAGTATTGACTCAGCTATTCATCATGCTCGCAGAATCTTAGCGATTTTAGAGGCACTCTTTTTGCTAAAGCTGTCTTCTGTTGGCACCTCGTGGAGTTATAGTTCGAATGAAATAGTTGCTGCAGCGATGGTTGCCGCTCATGTTTCTGAACTATTTAGACGGTCAAAGGCTTGCATGCGTGCACTCTCTGTTTTAATGCGATGCAAGTGGGACAATGAAGTTTACACCAGGGCATCATCGTTGTACAATCTCATCGATATTCAAAGCAAGACAGTTGCATCCATTGTTACCAAGGCTGAACCATTAGAAGCACAATTGATATATCCACCTGTTTGTTTACTCGAAATGAGGCAAAACAAACGTACGAAATCTGCTTGTTACGATCCCGGGCAACTCTCTTCTTCGGAATGTGAAGATTCAACCCATTCGGACATTAATCTCGGATGTGAGAAGGTGTTAGCATCAGATGTAGGCTTAGGAAATTCTTCGGGCAGAGGTGTAGCAAGTTTCTCAGTAGATGCCTCGGATTTGGCCAATCTTCTCAACATGGATAGGCACATAGGATTCAATTGCAGTACACGAATCCTTCTTAAATCCGTGCTTCCGGAGAAGCAAGAGTTGTGTTTTTCCATTGTTTCACTATTGTGGCACAAACTGATAGCAGCTCCCGAAACACAAATCACCGCCGAAAGCACGTCTGCCCAACAGGGATGGAGACAGGTAATCCGATACTTTTTCATGCATAACAGTTGGCAAAGATATATTTTTTGTCAAAAATTCTGATTCCATGAAGACATATTTGTCTGACCACCCTACTTTTATGGAATTAGGTGGTCGATGCATTGTGCAATGTCGTATCGGCATCACCGGCAAAAGTGGCTACAGCAATTGTTCTTCAGGTCTAAATTTCGTTCTTCTTGCAAGCATTACTCGAAATTTAGAATGACAAAACATTAGTCCATATGTTTTCATAAAAGCAGACACCGTCGTCCAAATCAGCAGCCATAAATTGCCTTGTTGTCTTGCTGTTTTACTTTTTTCTAGTTGTTTGTTCACTTTTATGGCCTTGTTTTATTGTCAGGCGGATAGGGAATTACAGCCATGGATTGCGAAAAATGATGATCAAGGTCAGAAGATGTGGAGAATCAACCAGCGGATCGTAAAGTTGCTAGTTGAACTAATGAGAAATCACAATAGCCCCGAATCGTTGGTAATCGTAGCAAGTGCCTCTGATCTGCTTCTACGTGCCACGGACGGAATGCTTGTTGATGGGGAAGCTTGCACTTTACCCCAATTGGAGGTACTGTCTCTTATTTTCACCAAACGCATCCAGTTCTATCTCAAAGCCTCACTAATGTCTTGAGTTTTTATCTAAAAATTGCAGCTGCTGGAAGCAACAGCAAGAGCAGTTCAGCCAGTACTAAATTGGGGGGAATCGGGACTGGCAGTTGCGGATGGCCTTTCGAACCTGTTAAAGGTGAGCAAGTACCCTTTTTTGGCATGTTCCATTTTCGATGTATTCTAAAGGTTTTACGTCAAAACATGCTCTCAAGCTGTTCATAGTAAGATCTATGCTGATGTGATCTTTAATCTGCCATTTCATGCAGTGTCGCCTACCAGCGACAACTCGATGCCTTTCTCATCCAAGTGCACATGTTCGTGCTCTCAGCGTTTCGGTACTCCGCCATATCTTGCATGCAAGTTCAGTTGAATCGAATTCCAAGGCCATCCATGGTCCCTCACATGAGTTCCACGGTATTGGTAGTATCGACTGGCATACCGATATCGAGAAGTGCTTAACATGGGAAGCTCGTAGTCAACTTGCAAGAGGAATGCCTATATATTTTATCGACACCGCTGCCAAAGAACTAGGCTGCCATGTTTCGACATAATCGGTTATCCTGTGGATTCTTGTTTCAAGTGAAGCTTCCGAAGCATGCAACGCAAGGGACCCTTTTTCTTTTTTTGTACTTTTTCTTTTTTTGGTAAAGTACAGAAATGATTCTTCTACTATATGTTATTGTTTTGTTGAGTCCTCTAACTATTAAAAGTAATAAAATAATTCTTTGACTATATTGAGTTGTTTTGTTGAATCTTTTGACTATTAAAAGTTACAAAATGGTAATCTGACTATTCATTATGTTTCAAACTTATCATTTTTCGTTAAAAAATTAACGGCCTTCTGAGCTGGACGTTAACATATCGAATGAGATATAATAATAGTTTGATATTATGAGTTTAGATTTTATCATATATCAGTCAGCAAATTAACTTCTAGCTTAGACTACCATTAATTTTTTAATAGAAAATGGTTAGTTTGAAACGTAATAAATGGTCCGGTGATCATTTTGTAACTTTTAATATTCGAGAGACTAAACAAAACAACTCTCTATAGTCAAAAGTTCAATTATAAATTGTAATAATCGGAAGACTCAATAAATTAATATCTCAAAGGACCATTTATGTATTTTAATCCTTCTTTTTCTAATAACATAAATTACGATTTGCATTTGATAATAATTTTTTTCCTTTTTTAGGCTTTATTGTAACAAATTTTCAAACATAATATTTTTTAAATTTTAACGTATCTAAATTATTTTTTAAATATATCTTAAAAATTCATTTGTTTTAAAAAATATTTTTTAAATTCTCTTTATCACTTGATAGTTTTTGATATTATCATAGAATCTAAATAAATAAAAAATCAGAAGGAATGATAATAATATCAATAAAAATATTAAAAAATTATAATAAATAAAATTTAATTTAAATACTTAATATTAACCATAGACCTACTTCAGTAATTTTATAATAACATTTAATTTTAATATTAGTATAGATTTAAAAAATTATTTACATGTTTGGACATTAATCTTATTGTCCATAAAAGATGAATTTGGATCTTTAGCCCAAAACCCAACCCTAAAAGCCCTACAACAATCAGTATATATATGTTAGATGAAAACCCTAGTTTTTAACTTTGGCCTCCATTGCATATTGCATAAGCTCATCAGTTCCCCGAGAGCCTCTTCTCCTTACTCCCGTAAAAATGGTAATAAAAAAATCATCTTTCTCATCCGAATTCCTTGTACTTGCATTTCTATTCTCATTAATTCATCATTTTATCTCTCACAGTAGTTTAGACACGCTTTATTTCTTCTCCCAACTCTATTTTTGTGAGGTGTGTTGTTATGAGGGTTTTGTGAAGTGGTATTTGCTTGATTTCTGAATTTGGGTTTGTTTTTTCACCCTAAAGATGGTTGCTTTAAACTCCGTTTTAATGCGTTCTTTTTTATTTTTCTGTGTGATAGTCTCTTGTGACCAACGAAGATTTTCAGCACATTTTGCGTGTGTTGAACACCAACGTTGATGGAAAGCAGAAGATTATGTTTGCTATGACTTCCATCAAGGGTATTGGAAGGCGTTTCGCCAACATTGTTTGCAAGAAAGCTGATGTCGACATGAATAAGAGGTTTGATTTATCTTCTAAATTTGTATATGCAAAGAAAAATGTTTTTTAATGTCCGTTTTAGGCTTAGTTTTGGTTAATACGTTTCTTGTTACAAAGGTTAGACAATAATATACGATATGCTTTCTGTAAATTTCACATTGAAACCGTAGATGTAGTGGTCTTCTAGGTTGGAATTATGTATTTATCGGATAGTATTTGCCTGTGGCATGATCAAGTTGCTGAATGGTTTTTTATTCTTGGTGGGTTGTGAAAACTTGAATTTGATATACTTTGTTGTTGTTAGGGCTGGTGAATTGACCGCACAAGAGTTGGACAACCTCATGACGATTGTGGCAAACCCAAGGCAGTTTAAGATCCCAGACTGGTTTTTGAATAGGCAGAAGGATTACAAGGATGGTAAATATTCCCAAGTTGTGTCTAATGCTCTCGACATGAAGTTGAGAGATGACTTGGAGCGCTTGAAGAAGATCAGGTTAATTCACCGTCCAGTGTTGCTTTTGTATATAAAATGCCTGAAACAATGTGATCGACCCTACTACATCCTTCTGGTTATTAACATTTGCTTTTGTATTTCCAAGCATGAAAGTAATAGTCTACACTGTGTATTTGGGACAATTTTCTTCTACAATGTAATGCTTATATCCAAGTCTCAATATAGAACATGTGTTGTCTCTCCCTTTTCTGACATTTTTGGTTGGTGTCTTGCACGCTTATGAGTCATGGGGTGGTTAGGTTATTCTCATATTGCAGCGATGCCATCTAATGGTTGTCATTGTGATTAAAACGAGTAAAGAGCTACATTAATGAAAGCCTATAAATCTAAATGCATCTTATGTTTTTATATTGATGCATTTCCTTTATGGATTGGTTACACCTCATGCATATATGATTAGCTACTTTATGCAGCCCCAGATATGTAGTGGCAACTATCTAACAATTGATATTATACTGTGATGCAGGAACCACCGTGGTTTAAGGCACTACTGGGGCCTTCGTGTCCGTGGTCAGCACACCAAGACCACTGGTCGCCGAGGAAAGACTGTTGGTGTCTCCAAGAAGCGTTGAGTGCTTCATATCATAGTCTATTATGAGGCAGCAGATGGTTATTTATTTGCTTTTAAGCGCTTAGTTTTCATCAAGACGAGTTTTTGGATGTGATTTTGTTGTTATTTTTTTGGTTTGTTTGAAACCTTGCAGACAAGTAGTGTTTTGTTTGATCTTTTTATCAATTAGTATTAATGGAACCATTTTGTTCATTAATTAACTGTAATGTGTCAGTAATATATAATTTAAATATTACTTAAATATATTAAATAATGGAATAATTTAGTAAAGGTTTAAAATCACTGGTGAATACATGCGGAAACGTAGCGTTGTTGACAATGTGAATTATTAGCACAATTAAAACGTTATTGGAAACGGCACTTAAAAGCTGTATCCAATTCAATATCCATGTGTTACGCGGTTGAACAGCACTGGTTGAAGTGTCCAACCTCCGTGCAACCTCTTTTGTCTTTTTAATACAAAGTTACATAAACCGAAGCAATCTGCAAAAGTTGAACGAAATTAAACAAACGAAGGGGAGGAATAAAAATTCTCTATTCTTTCGTCGATCGTGAAAAAACAAGGACATCGGCAAACGGGGGAGAAAATTGGGAAAAACTATGGGGAAGAAGAGGAAGTCAATAGCGACGAGCCTTGACGAGGTGGATCGGACTATGTACGCTTCGTTTTTCAGCGCCGCTAATTCTTTGTCTCAGCTTTATACTCAGGCTATGAACCAGCAGAAACTCTCCTTCCAAGCTGGCAAACGCCATAGCCTTGTACTCTCTCTCTCTCTCTCTCTCTATATATATATATATATATTCATGGGTTTTCATATCTGGTTTTGCATACATATATTCATTGAATTTTGGTTGTTATTTGTATGCAATTTAGCTTGATGGTTTGTGTTGTATCTGTTTTTGCATATATTTATATATATATTCAATGAATTCTGGGTTGTTATTTGTATGTGATATTAGCTTGATGGATTTTTGTGTCTGTTTTTTGAATCTTGATTTTGGATTTTATCTTAGTTCTTCAAAAAGATATGATTTTGATCAATCAAGCTTGTTTTGTTTATTTATTTATTTATGATTTATTGATTGTGAACGTATTTTTTATGCGAATATGATTAGGGGTTTGCTGGTTGTGGATTTATTATATGATTATGATTTCCCCCTCTGCTCGTGTTTCCAGTTATAATGCATTTCTACGTTTGTGTGATTTAGCTTGAAGGCAGTGTGGTGCTTTTTAATTTTTCTTTTGTGAAGCCTAAATGATAATCTTAATTAAAAAAGAGGGTTTTGGTTAATATGTTGGTTTGTTGTCGTGTTGTACTTATTTCTAAGAGTGGAACTGGTTGCTACGGTGTGTTTGAACTCATGGTGAGTTTCAACTTGAGCTAATCTTTTGGTCGGCATTGATACTTTCGCATCGATGATAGAATTTCCATTTTTTCTTAGGCTAGATACTCTCTTACAGCATTGCCTTGCTTCTGAAAGTCGAGGAGTGTGCAAATTGATGTTCTGAAGCTAGTGAAACCATTGATATCACTTGTTTTGACGTGTATGTTGTTCTAAAGCTTGAAACTTGTCGGTCACCGAGCCATTCAACCAGCTAATTTAGAATCTTTCAGAGTTTCGACGTTAAGTACTTTTAGTTTTAATAAAATACGATAAAGACGGACTCGGGAGGGGCGTAGTGGCAGTTTGATGGCGGATTGTAAATCATCGATAGAATCGGCTCACTCAAGTGTAACTTCTAAAGAGGACTTTGGATGTTATACATAAATTCTGCATGTTGCCTTTGTTAAGAGCAATGGTCTATGCATATTTGCACACGGCATCGAGTGTAGAATCTATAAAATTATAAATTTTCAGCCTTTATTTGTGAACTTGCATATCTAGTCATCTATGGAGTGCTTCTAATTGTGAGTTTGAAGTTTATGCTAATAGATTGTTTAAACTTGCTTTCAGGAAAAACTTTATCAGTGGATTCGGAGGCAACAAGAGGCGGGAACGAGAGTAACAACAATGGATATCCACAATTACCTTCAGGTTTGTTGTTCTATTGACTATTTTATAATTTTCCGTAGAGCTGGGAAAATGATCTGAATGTGAAACAGTGACTGGAAAAAGTCCAAATCCAGACGCGCACATACCCGAATCGACCTAAAAGCCAAACACCCTAACCTGAAAGAATCTGACTCTGCTGCAACTTGAACTTCTAATGAGCCAAACTAGAGATTGACCTGATCTAAATTCCTAATCTGCCAGTCACTCTTGGAATGTGTTTGTTCTGGAATTCTGTTACGAGTACCGCTATACATGTGGGTGCATAAAGATAAGCATTGTGCCATTTTATTTATAATGTAGCTCATTGAAATATCGTCTCTATGCTTCCTGCTAAGGTCGAATGAATATCGCTTTTCCTTAATTGCTTGTTTTGAAGTTGTATGACGAATCCCTTTTTCTTGGCTGCCGTGTCAAACTCAAAATGCAATTTCTCTTCCTTTTTTCTTGTGTATTGGAGTGTTATACACCCGGACATCTGTCTGGATTTGTATTGTACACCATTGTCGAACGCGATTAATACGAGAAAAATAAAGTTGGAACAACATAGGTCTATTCATATGTTAGAAGCTTGCAGGGGGAGTTATTTTGCTTTTGGAACTGGAAAATTGGGAAGCAGTTTTATGATATTCTTGTAGCTTTAGCCTCTAAAGATGTGTGCAGGCACTAGCATGCTTATTACAAAGATGGGCACTGGTAGATTCTCCCTTCGGACCTGAGGGAATCTTCTTTTGATTCCTTTGGAAATCCTTACGATTTCGTGTTTTTGGATCCTTTCTATTTGTGATAATATCAGATTATCTTTACTATATTCTGAAAATCTGGAGATTTTTATGATTTCCTTGCAGAACGAGCTAGACTACTGTGGCGAGGAGCCATCAATGTCACCTAGAGCACCAAGCCAACAGCAACAACCCCAGCCTACAATGCCGTTCATGAATCCCGGTTTCATGGTCTCTTCAGGCTCATCCTGCCAAACTTCTGTGCGGGGAACTCGCCCCGATCATTGTGATCAGCAGCCAAAGAATTCTGTTTTCTCAAATGCCTTATCGAGCCCTGTTCGTCTGAGTCTTCAGCATTATCACATTTCTCAGGAAGGTAACTGTCCGAACGGTGGTCTGCCTTCGGGAAATGGAGCCGGGAAGAACGAATCCAACTTTCTGCAGCACCAGATTCGGGATCCTAACCCTCTCAGCTCCAACGATACCTCGATGGACATGCACGCAGATAGTTCTTCACATGAATCTACTTACTGAGAGAACGGCAACGGTAGCTCCCGACAATTATCACCGAAGTGAAGATAACTCTCCGCATTCATTAAAAAAAAAAGGAACTCAGGGCAGTGGCGATTAAAGGAGAAGAATCTGCGTGTGTTGTGTGTTGCATAGATAGCACAGATTGGTGTGAATTTATCAGTTTTATGTGCTTTGGCCCTACTTGCTTCCAAGTCTTCAATTTCTTATTGTAAAACATTTTGTCTAGTCAATACAGCCGCTTAAATAAATTAAAAACTACCATTTAGTTCTAAAATTTAAGGAATTTTAATTACGCCCCTAAAAATTTCAAAATTCTATTTGGGTCCTCTTAAAAACAGGGTAAAATATACCTCAACTCGTTCCATTGTAACAATCGTTTTTTAAAATTATAATTTAATTAGAATATTATTATAAATATGCTATTCTGTCGTTAAAAATAAAACATATGTATAATGTAACCTAATATATTAACAATTCAAAAAAAATGCAACTTGTTAAATAGGGTCCCTTTCTATTTATGTCTAGGGGTGCAAATCGTTTCTTCTTTCTAAGAATGTGTCCTCAATAATTCCCAAGACTCTCCTTTCTCCGATTTCTTGCATTTGCTCACTTGTCTTGTTCATATAGGGTTTAAAATGCAGGGTTTATCAATTCAAAAAAAAATGTAGGGTTTACTATCATTGATGGAAATAAATTGATGGTGGAATGTTTGTTGGTCGATGTTAATTTTTTCTCTCTATTACAAGGTAAATGAGTGATCAGCGAAGAGGATAGTATAGTCTCTTATTTTGGTATTGATCGAGATAATTTTATAGTGACTTTTAGTATTAATATCAACCGTAGGGTCATGATAAATATTTGTAGGTTGACAATATATATGAATTCAATTGATGTGATCAGTTGTCGATCGATATTAACCCTGATATATCACGTGATACTTATCGGAGATAATTTTAAAAGATTGCGACTTTTCGAGAAATGAAATACTTCAAAGACCCCATATTTAAAGACATTCTTTCAAAACTTTAACTATAAAAATGTTTCCTGAAAATTTTAATGTACAGAGACGGGACAACAATCATATTCATGTATTATACCACATGTTTTTCACTTGAGATTGAAGATAACAATTGATAATATTTAAAATTAATTATGTTAATGGGTAGGGTAAAGTAATTTTTTTCAATCACGTGATATATTCTTATAATATCAAATTTTTAAAATGATTAAAATAAAAATGTTAAATTAAAAAAATAATGTGAATTAAAATAAAATTTGAAGACTAAGTTAAAAAAATTATCAAATTTAAAGACTAAAAACCACTTTATCCGTATTGAATAAACAATAATGATCAATCATAATATAAAATAATCAGTATAAATCTTATTAATTAAATTTTAACTCTTATTTTTTTTATTTAAATAGTTTTAAAGAGCCTTGTCAACATCAAGGTTAAACTAATTATGCATTGATCCCCAATTTCTAAATATTAAAGATAATTTAACAATTTTTTTATATTATATGTTCTTTATCTATACATATTTACTTTTTTTAAAACTTTGTGATAAGCTTTGTAAGTTTAATATTTATTTTCACTCTCCATCTTTATTTTATATATGTGTTGTACTTTTGTCGGTTAATCTTCGGTAAAAGAATCTCAAACACTCAACATTTCTTATAAAATCGTGGCATATTAACATGATCTCTGATAAGTTCATGTGACTTATCAAAATTAAATATATTATCAAATAATCATATATACTTAGTCTGCTAACATATAAATAGCCATAATAACTATACTTCTGGAGTCTAGATTAAGAGTTACAAAACAAAATCGAGAGGATGGATGAAACTATTTCACCCTTATTCATCCTCTTTCTATCTCCTTATGAAAACATAATACTTTGATAACGACCAATTATCGATTCACCATCAATGAAAGATCCAAAAATATTTTTGAGAGTTAACACATATGTTAATAACACAATTTTTAAATAGGGATGATATAAATAAAATTTCACGGTGGGTACTATCATTAAAATAAACAACTAATCAAAGAAATTTCGGATTTCATGATGGATACATTTTCATCCTCATGTTAATGTAGACATACCTCTGTCTACAATTAATTGCAACTCTTCGTCCAAATCAAAAAGCTTAGAACACCTATAGTTATCGTGATTCATTTATTCTTATCAACAAATAATATCACGAGTGCAGAGCATTTATTAGAAAAATATCAATTAAATGCATTCCCACCCTAGAACAAACATATTAAATAAAATGTTAATAAAAGCATAATTCAATTAGTTATTTAGTTAAAACAATAACAATAACAAAACCCTATTCCCATATACAATGGGGGTAAGGGGGAAGTAGGATAGTAGGCTGCCCCCAACGCCAGATTGAGAGCAGCTTCCGTGGAAGACCTCCGGTAGTTAAAAAATTAAAAATAAAAATAAAATGCAATGCATGTATATATAAATAAATAATTACAAAGTTAAACAGTCTTCATATGCAGTCTACATATGCGAATCTGTGATGGGAAGTAATCCCTGAGTAAAAAGCTCTGCATATAAACAGAAACGTAAGATCCGACTAAAATTAAAAAGATGAAACATGAAGAGAATGATACACAGAAGTCAACGAGAGCAAGCAACATGAAGGAATATAGTCAAATGGTTTAAAACCTAAACTAATACAACACTACTCCACTACCCTAGTTCTAATCCTTCATAAATTCCAATAACAGAAACGTATAAAAAGTAGAAGTCATGGAAATTACTACAAATGCATTAAAAGAAGACAGAGATGATACAATTTATGGATGTGACCATCACTACTCGGTTATCCTGATTTTAAGTCTTCATACTTTCCTATCATAGGTCATGTCATTGGTAAGGATTAAATATTATTATCATGAGGGGAATTTTCCTATATGAAATTTAAGAATTTTTTTCTGCTAATTAAATTAGGTATAGACACATAACATGAATTCAACTTATTCTAACTCGGTTTTATATGATCATTTTTTTTCAAAAAAAAATTAAGTTAATTTTTTTTTGAAAAAATAGGTTAAATTCAAATTTTGGTAAAATTTTTTGACTCGATACGATTCAAAATAATAGTATAATTACTTTTTATATATTTAAATAAAATTGTAATAAAATTTTATTCTTTGTATTTTTCAACTAGATTCATTTTTCATCGAATAAAAAGTTTATGTATATATATATATATTCGGATTAAATATGATATTTTACTTTAAAAATTAAAATTTTAAATCAAATAAAACCTTCTGAAACATAAATCAATCAAAAACTTGTTTCATGTCCATCCTAAGCGAAACGCACCATTAATAATACAAATTCTTTTTCCGAGAAAAAAACAAGGAGAGAATCGCTATCATGCGCAATGGATGTCACTATCCCTATCCTTCACTTTAAATAATTCCATCCAGATATGAGCTCTAAATCTTTTTATTCCCTCCCTACCCAATAATATATATTTTTTCTTCCCCACCCATTTTTTATTACTAATTTCTCTCGAATTTTTGGCTCTCCAAATTTCCAATTACCAGCCGATTAATCTTACGCTAGCCGCGGTCGAACACACCGGCGCCGGAGCTTTAATTCCCTGGGTTTTTTTTCCTACTCGCCAGATCGGCTTAATCGCCATCAGGTAAGCTCTCAAAAACCTTTTTTCTCTCCAAAATATGATTTCCTGTTTGTTTCCCGAGAAAATAAAAGGAGAACAAATCAAGCAAAAAAGGTTTTCAATTTAAACTGTTCACTGCCAACGTTTTTTTCTGTTCCATTTTCTTTATTGCTTTTAATTTCAATCAAACAGAGAGCATTGCTTTGAGCCGATCCTTGTTACTTTAAACTGAAAACAGATCTTAAATCATTCTTAAACGAATTTAATTTTTGTTATTTACGTTGTTGTTCTTGATAATATATATATATATATTCATAATGTTACTCTGTTGATTTTTTTCTTTTTTTCTTTTTAAATTTGACTAAATTAATGTTATTGAATTTTATTTATTTAATAGAATTATATATCTTAATTGTGCGTGCTTTTAATGAGGGGGTGACCATGTTGATAATCATTGCCGTTTTTGGGAAGAAAGTAGTTATTATGTCTGCAATGAGTTATGGTTACTTAGAATTCACTTAATATGTAAACTGCAAATGGAATTTAAGATTTTCCATTGATGTTAGATTTTCATTATTTGGTAAGCTTATAATTTTACTGACCTTGACATATTGGTGGATGAATGAGATAGGGGTAGTTTGATTCGGTTTGTTGTGACAGGAGGCGTGTCGAAAAGAAGAAAAAAGAAAAAGTGATGTCTGGGTGCTCCAGATGAGAATTGATGTTATTAACAGTAGAAGGAGGAGGGTTCTTCTCTTCTTCCGCGTCCGGGTATAGCAAGGGCTTGGCCCTTCTGCTCCTGGGTCAGAAGCACGAGGACAAGTCCATGAGAGTTACGCCGTGGAACCATTACCAGTTGGTAGACCGAGAACCCGTTCCTGACCTCCAACTGGCTTCCACCAAGAATCGGCTTCCCCGCGGGTGCGCCTCTTTTGTCTGCTTTCGTGGCACTTCCGCAGGGATTGACACACCATCACATCTGAAAGTTGGCCCTGATCAACAGCAGGATGTCTTGCCAGGCTCTTTTGTTGCAGATAAGAGTAATGATCAAGCAAATGAGCTTGCCGATGGCAATACCAATGTAAGAAAGGTTGTTTTAAAAAGTAGTTTGAAGAAGCAATTAAGTAGTGCTCAAGTTTCTCTTGAGGATGTTAATGGTTGTGAGGCATCAGGGGAAAAGGATGGTTATACCCCAAGTCATACAGAACAAAGAAAGGTGCAGTGGACTGATGCTAATGGTAGCGAGATTGCCGAAATCAGGGAATTTGAGCCCAGGTACATGAAATTTCTGATCTAAATTGAAGTTATATAAGCAATGCAGTTCAATTTTCAATCAATTTTTTCTTTATTTTATTTCTGTTTTTATTAATGTGCCTTGTGAATTTAATTAATCCCTCACTTCCCACTAAGTGAATTTTATTAATGTGCCTTGTGATATCAGGGAATTTGTGCCTTGTGAATTTTATTTCTGTTTTTATTAATGCGCCTTTGTACAAACTTGGGATATAGCTGAAAATTGTTTGTGTTTGTTTTTATAGCCTACGAAGGTGTGAATAGTTAGATGCTATCAGACCACATGCATAGATCTGATCTTTGAGAATTGGCTCTCAAGATCACAATCATAAGACTTGTTTTGTTTGGCAAAATGTTATAAGTTGTGGTATAAATGTGCCAACATAATTAGCATGCATCTATGGATTTTGTAAGGTGTTCGAGAACTTTCTTTTATACTAATTTGAATATAGTTGCCTTCACTAGAGATTACTGCACAATTGGTAGATAGTGCATTAGGTTAATCCTACTCTAATGCCTTTGATGTATTTTTTAGCTGAATTAGGAATTAGTAGTAGTAGGTGCACAAGTCCTTTGTTATGGCTATTCATATTTCTTGTGCATATAATGTTTTAATCCACATGTTTTCTGCTCAAATTTTAACTAATAGGAATAGATACAATGGCATAGGTGCTAATAAAAGTAATTCAGAGGAAAAATGTATAATTTGTTTATCTGATTGGGTGGTTAATTATTCTTGAGCTAATTTTATAGTTGGCCATTCCTTACTATACGGTTAAATTTTTATATATTCTTCTTGTTTGTTTAGTTTTTCTTCACTCCTGGGTTGCTGATATCATATTTTTATTTAATGTCAGTGAAACAAGCGATTCTGATGATGAATTTAGTAACGGAGTCGAAAAAACTTGTGCATGTACAATTATGTAGTTCGGTTATTATTTCGAGTTCTAATGATGCCATCAGGTAAAATTGCTTGCTAACCGACCTTAATCTTCACGTTGGAAATGCTGAGTAAATTTGTGGGCCAAGAAGAAGCAAGTTCCTATTGTTGTTGATGATTCTACATTGAAAATTGAATGCAAGTAATTGAGATGAGCTTTCTCGTTTGGTCAGCTTAGTGGACACATCTTTTGTGTGTATATTATATATTTAATTTGAGATTTCAATTTTGTCATATACATTTTCCTTTTTTTTATATCATGATTATGATTATTATTCTTACTGCATGACTCTTTGTTCATATCTTTATATATATATATATATATATATATAGAATTTCTTTAAACATTTTGTAAGTTACACGTGGTAGAACCATAATGTGCCATATAAATTTAATAGTCAACGGATTGATTCAAAATTTTGATTTTATGATTTAATATCTTAATTTGAAATTTTAATTAGATGCAGAAAAAATTTAAAGACATAATTGATGTTGTAACAGCACCGGTGACAACTGAATTAAGATTTGGTTGATGCTTTTATATTTATTAGATATATCTATAATATTCTTTTTCCAACTTAAGCATTACACATATAATTAAATACTTATTTGATTTTATTCAATTGACATTTATGATTAGAATAACGTTTAATTTAAAGATTGAAATTTAATATAGAGTTGAAGTACGTACCAAGTCTTCTAACTGAAATTTTTTTTATTTAAATATTTAGTAGTCTCTTATTTCTCTCAATGATTGATCCTAAATACGTTACTGATAAGAAGTTTCCAAACTGAAGGTCCTTTGAAAAGACCTATGACAACGTCTTATCGCCTCCAGGGTCGTGGCTAGGTTTTCGGATGCCTTGTACAAATTCTTATAAAAGGTTTTATTTTTTAGATATATTTGATTTCGGGATAAAAATAGTGGTTTTTTAAAAAATATGTCGCAATAGGTCCATCTATAATGACGTTTATTGAAAAAACGTCACTATATATATATATATATTTTTGGAGCCTACTTTTTGGGGGGCCTGCATAGTCGCGCAGTTCGCGCCTCCCCAGTCACGCCCCTCGCCTCCCATCAAGCCAATTCCTCCATCACCAATTTCTCTATCAGCACCGGATTTCGTGGTAATTACCGAGACCAAAAGGAGATCACTTTGGAATTCCACCTATCGATTGGAATTAAGTTCAATGTAGAAGACTGTAAGAGATGGTTAACTATATTAAACATTATGCATGAGAAGGTTAACTACACCAAATTTCCACGTTTCCTTTAATTTTTTTTTTTAAAATCGGTTCTTGAAATTTTTAAGTTCAATTTTGATAATATGTCGGTTTAGTTCAAATTTATTCCGATAAATTATCTTGAGTTTATTAAATTCCTATAATAATTTATTTTAATTATAATAGTTGATATAATTACAACAATGGCCCCTAACCCCAAAACAAGAAAACTATAGTTTATTAATGAATGCAGGTGTGAATTTTATTATTGAGAGCAAGTATAACTAATCCATCTCAAATTTGTATTGATCCTTAATGAAATCATAATCTGCCTTACCTTGTGAAAATAAATAAAAGATTTCGAATCTAATATTAAACCAATAAGATATTATAGAAAAACATTGCCAAACGTACACACAAAAGTGAAAATGAAAAGATATAAAATTTTATGTTAAACAATCTAAATCATTAAAAAGTTATATTAAAATAATAAAATTTTAGGGGATATGAAATTAGATCATCAACAGAAAATACCTAAACCATACGAGAATTTGAAATTTCTAAGAGTTCGACCGCCCCCTAACTAGGGATGAATATGGGTCAGGTCAGGTTTTTGATTGACTCGAACTCGATCTCAATCTGAGTATTCTACCCCTCCATCTATCACTTGATTTGATATGAGTTTAGCGAGGCTTCACTCGACCTAAAACCTAGCTTGATTTTAAAATAAAAATGTACATCTGACCCAATATATTATATATATAATTCTCATTTCATTAGGTAAAATAGGGATCTAATTGAAAAGAAATATATAAATAGAAGTGTTATTACAATTATCTATATATATAAGGGATAATTATATCATTATCTTAGGTGAGTTGGATTGGAGATTTTTCACTCTAAACCCAAACTCAAACTAGTCTTTTAAAAAATTAAACCTAACTCAAACTTGATTTTTAAAAAAAAAATATAACACTATAAGATCAAGTCGGATATAAATTCATCGAATCCGAATCTTATATCCATCCTTAACCCTCCATCCGTACAGATGACTAATATGAATAAAATCTTATGGAATGACTTGAAAAAGGCTATAATAAGACCACGTTATGCTTTGTCCATTACACAAAAGAAACAACAAGAAGCTGGCCATGGCTATAGCTACTAAATCTTCCATTGCTTTCCTTTTGACGTCTTCTGTTTTGCTTGCTTCTTACTTATCTATCTCGGAGGCCAACGTCGACCAGCCGGTTCCAATCGTGAGTGGTCTCTCCTGGACTTTCTATCAAAACACATGTCCGATCCTCGAATTCATTATCAGGGACTATCTGATATCGGTGTTCACTAACGACATCGGCCAAGCTGCCGGCTTGCTCCGTCTTCATTTCCACGATTGCTTCGTCCAGGTACGTTATGGAACGGTACGACGTATAATCGTCGTTGTTTTATGGTTTTGATTCGTCTCGTCTGTGGTTCTTATTAGGGATGTGATGCATCGGTGTTGTTGGATGGATCAGCAAGTGGACCGGGGGAGCAACAAGCTCCGCCGAATCTCAGCCTGAGGGCTAGGGCATTCGAGATCATCAACGAACTGCGCAATCGCATCGAAAACGCCTGTGGAAGAATCGTCTCCTGTGCTGATATCCTTGCTCTTGCAGCTCGTGACTCCGTTTACTTGGTATCATCCATACTATAATTTTTTTATATAATTTTTCTATATAATTTTTCATTCATATAATTTCATTTTTCATTTTAAAGTATTAATACTTATACAATGACTACAAAAATAAGAATCAACCATCTAAATATATGATTTTTTTAAAAAATATAATAAGTTTACTTTGTCTAAAAAAATTGTGTGCCCTTATGTATTAGAAACACATATTAATATGGACACGAATCAAGCGACAACGTACACATACATGTTAGAATTTTAACTCTAATAATTAACAAAAGTAAGTTAGAATATTATATTTAAACACTTGAAAAAGATACTATTCAACCTATGTAATTTTGTAAAGAAGCAAAATCTCATGTTGGTCGGAAATTAACTTTTCAAATATTTAAATATAATATTTTTAGCTTATTTCATTAAGTGATTAGGGTTAAGGTCATTGCATGTACATTGCTATAGATGCTTAATCTAATATGTGTTTATGAATGCATGTGTATTTTTTTTCTTGCAAAGTAAACTTATTTTATTTTGATTCATATTCTATTTTAATTTAATCATTGTTTAGTTTTTATTCTATTTAATTTATGTCTTTTACTAATATTATTTTGAAAAAAATTAACAAATCTTAAAATAACCCTAAAATATAAAAAGAAGTAATGACTTAAAAGGCAAAACTCACGACATAATGGATTCAAAAAAAATATTTGACGAGATGATGCACTGGGCAGATTAATTGCTCGAATGGGGTGAATTCTACAGTGGCAACATAGGTCGCCATGCACGCCCGACGTCCTTATAGGTCGCCATGCACGCCCGGCGTCCTATAAGGACGCCATGCACGCCCGACGTCCTATAAGGACGCCATGCACGCCCGGCGTCCTATAATTATTTGCTTGGGGTGGCCGCTGTTGGTGGCCGCTGATAATTATTTGCTTGGGGTGGCCGCTGTTGGTGGCCGCTGCTTTGGGGTGGCCGCTGTTGGTGGCCGATGTTGCTCGTCCATCATTATTTGCTGCTTTGGTGGCCGCTGTTGCTCGCTGATGCTGCTTTGGTGCTATGCATGGGCCATGCACGAGGCATGGGATAGGTCGCATGCGCTTTGTTCACGTGGTCTGATCTCGGCAAACCTCTGCATGGGCCATGCACCAAGGATGACCAAGGATCAGTTCATGCATGGGGCACTCGGGGCGACCAAGGATCGGTTCTAGGTTGCCGGCGACATCGCGACATGGTAGGTCGCCATGGAGTCCCGACGACATGGTAGGTGGTAGGGTAGGTGGTAGGTCGCCATGGAGTCTCCATAGGGAGATTCCTGCATCGCGACCCAGCTTTAACTGTAGCACTCATGCATGCAACGACCAAGCTTTAACTGTATCACTCATGCATGCGTTGCATCCATAGCTAGCTGGGAGATTCCTGCATCCGTAGCTGCATGCGTTGCATCCATAGCTGTATGATTGCAGCGTTAATTTAGCTGTTAAATACAGCAAATATTGCTGTTCAATTGAAGACTTTCAATGCTCAATAGTTATACGATTCAATCCTAATAATATTTTATTCAATAGTCAAATTTTAAAGACTTTGTACAACGATTTTTTGCTTTATATAAATGATATGGGGTTTAGGATAGAAGGAGAAGAACAACCAGGAGTATAAGCATAAGCACGTATAAACTTTGCCGAGAGAAGGAAAAGGAAGAAGAAGAAAATAAGATAAAGGATCAAACATAGTTTGTGAGGTAATTTTTTATTGTTTAATTTAGTTTATTATATGAAATTATTAGTTTGTTAGTTTAGGGTTTAGGGTAAAACTAAAATCTAGTTAATTAGTTTGTTAGTATAAATTATTAGTTGGTTAGTTTAAGTTATATATTATATTATATAAAAAATTAGTTAATTAGTTAATTAGTTAATTAGTTTAAGTTATTAAGTATAAAAAAATATTAATTAATTTGTTAGTGTCTTTAAACATATATTAGATTGTTCATTGAAGTTGAAGTTATATTATAAAAAAATTAATTAGTGCTTAATTAGTGTGTTATTTTAACTAAGTTATATTATAATAAAGAAATAGTTTATTAGTTTAAGTTATATTATAATATATTAGATTATATAAAATTAATTTGTGGGAGCTATTGCTGTTTAAATAAATTAAACGGTTTACACATACAGGGCATTATTCCACAACATTTGCCCATGTTGAAATTGATTCGAATAAAGAAACAAAGAAGGAAAAGAAAGGAAAGGAGGAAGGCATAAATACGTGAGTAATTTATTATTTTTTGTTGTCTATTTTTTGTTCTTGTGTATGTGTAAATTAGTTAGATAGTAAGTTTATATTAGATTATATAAACTAATTTGTGCGAGATAATTTTTGT